AATGCATTTCTTTCAAGATACGGGTATAACATAATATGATACATCAGGCGCCAAACACACTGTTTACAGTAAATCAGTGGAACTATGGACTACTATTCGCTCCCTTAGCTTTAGGCACAGAAACAGCATTTGGCTGGGCTGCTTGAAGTCTGGTGGTGCTCTGCTTTGAACACCCACGCCGGCCACCATTAATGTTAAAATATTTTTCAAGTATAGTTAAACCGGCGCTACACGATGCGTCGAACATTCGCTCCAACGTTGGACGCGACAAATGTATCTGCTACACGATGTGTCAAATGCTTGAAGCAAAATTCGTTTTGAATTGTGGTTCAAACGTTTGTCTACATTCGTCAATATGGAGGATACTACTGACGATGCAGTTATAGCCGCAGCGGTGCGAGTTTTTAGTTGTGTGAATTGTTTACTCAACGTCATTTTAAAACTTATTTTTTAACGCTTTGTATTAATAGTTATCAAAATTTTGTCGAAATTCCATTAAAGTAATTTTCAACAACAACGCACCCAATTCTGATTTATTTTCCTGACTGCGTGTACTTATTATGATATTCTTATCTTTCCTGGGTCTCAAAGTGTGAAGTAAAACTTCTGAAAATCGTTATTTCATTACGTTTCGGCGCAATCATCAGATTTAAAATTTACACAAACTCATGATTGGTAAAAATCAACGTTCTTTTAGGTCTTTGCCTTCTTGGAGGACTTTGTCTAGAGACAAATTTAAATTTTCTAAATTTTTCTTAAATTTTAATCAAAATTTTTACTTCACACTTTGACTGAGACCCAGGAAAGATAAAAATATCATAACGTAGGCAATATCGACGACGAGATAACAAACCAATATTTTCCAAATATTTATCCCACCTACCCCCCGATTTCGATACTCTGAAAGAAAAGGGAAAAGATCTGGAATCGATCACATTTTAAGTGCTGCTTGATTTATGTGACACTTGTTCATAGCTTTGGTTTCTAATTTAATGGTTTCGCACGCAAAATCATGTTAAGCATTTAAGACTCAATTTACTTACATAATATTAAGGGCTCCGAGGACAGATGCAAAGCAGTTCGGTATCGGATAACCGTTTAACCACAATTTGTTTTGTTTTATCGTTTTTGCACAGGGTGACCCATGCTTCAAACTAGAGATGAGCTGAAGCGTGATTTAAAATCACTGTTATAACTGTCAATGTGATTTTTTTTACCCTGTAAATGTAATTTTTTTACCCTGTGAAAGTGATTTCACTTGACGTTGCCGTTTTCGGGATATAGGAGCGTTATAAGGTGATGCCCATTGTGCCTCACTTGCAGAAACAATCTTAAAACATTTGTAATTATGTTTTTTTAAATAAATAACCTAATGATTTAACGAACAAAATAATTTTATTTGGGTTTGTTCTTTCGCCGGGCCACATGTGCAACATATGATCACTACACGCAACTCGCAATAGTAGCGTTTAAAGCTACAGCTGCAAATCATAATAGTTATA